GTTCCGAAACATCACTAGTAAACATACTAGGTGTGACATACCTGTTAAATTCGCGCGGCAGTGCCTTTACCACCGCGAGGAATTGTGAGCGTGAGACTGTAATGCCGTGGCCGCAAAATTCAGCTTCTGCACAGCAGAACCAGGCTTCGATGTTGTCAGACCAAAAAGGCGTTAACTGAATCGAGGGTGGGGGAATAGTTTTTAACTTAAATACCTTAGGTGTCTGTTCCGTCATAGTATTATTAGAACGAAAAATATATAATTAAAATATATCCGAAAAACTCGAAAAAAGGTATATCACAATATATAAAAATGAAATAAAGAAAAACAATGGATAATGAAGTTCCGAAAAGGAACAGACTCACAGTTTATGCGCTTGGTGTACCAAATCACGTCGGTCTCACCACTGAAGATACGACTAGTCTTGTAGTTTTGCAACTTGCAACCAGTAACACCTATATTCGAAGCATTCCCAAATTAGATAAAACCAGAAGTCAGATGTGAAGAGGTAGGAAAGGTATATTTTATGCGTTATCAATATATCTGGAACTTGGCAGAATCGAAAGACACCGATCCCGCTAAGAGACATGCTCATGACCTGCAGTTAGTGGGATCTCTCATCAGAAATATACTGCCCGATGAGGTCCCAGGGGTACATATCTCGAAAGTCACCAGACTCGGTAAATATGTTGGAGGCGAAACCCAACAGAGAAGGATCCTTAAATTAGTACTCAGTAATTTTGAGGAAAGGGACGCATTACTAAATAACGCACGCAAAACTCGTGACTCAAACATTCGTATTCGACCTGACTGGCCACTTGAGGATCGGAAGAATGCCCTAACAGAGTTAAAAACTCGAAAGCTAAAGGGTGAAGCGAAACTTACGATTAAGGGTTTTTGGGTAGTCAGGTCTTGGAAGCCAATGCTCCCGAGACCTGTGTGGGTAGAACGTATATCTCCAAAAACACCTTAAATGTGTGTTACACGAATGCTCGTAGTCTTCGGAATAAGATGTATGAGCTAAATTTGATGGTAGACGACTTAAATCCGGATATAATTGTTACCACCGAAACTTGGCTCACTGTAGATATAGACTGTTCTCCAGTCATTTCAGGCTACATCTGTATCAGAAGTGATAGAGTTAGAAGTCGCAAGGGAGGAGGCATAATATTATATGTTAGGGACCACTTCTGCATAAACTCGATCATATCGGAGGCGCATGTAAGTGGTACGTGTGAGGTAGTATGATGTACAATTAGTTCTAGAAACGGGTTAGTGACGATAGGAGGAATATATCATAGTCCGTGTTGTCTCGCTGACGACTTTATCCCAAGACACGTCTGTTCTTGGAGTAAGGCAGAATCTTGTCTCATCGTTGGAGACTTCAATGAACCCCATATAAACTGGATAGAGCTCACAGCTCCAGGTGGGGGTTTCGATAGCATCCTTCTGTCATCAATTATTCAATGTGCACTTGTACAATGTATCGTTAAGCCGACGCATATAGACTTGGAACATAATCCGTCATTGATAGACCTTGTCCCCACACACCACTGTGAAGATATCGTCGACATTCAACACCTTCCCCCACTGGTGAATAGTGACCATGTCGTACTTTCCTTTAAGTTCCGGATACATGGTATAGAATTTGCATCTGCTCCACCCCGTCCTAATATCTGGATAGCTAATATTCCGGCAATCAGGGACTATGCTATCTCAACTGACTGGTCGATCGATGCTGATGGGTCGATTGATGATGCATGGAATAGGTTTAAGTCTACGTTCGAACCCGTAACTCAACCGTTTATCCCATGGTCAGCACGTAAGCTATCATATTGCCCTCCATGGATTAATAAGGAAACCCGGAAGCTGTTGAAGCGTAGGAAACACTTCTGGGACTTATTCTTGTCAACAGGTCAGCCATCATTTAAGTGCGAATGTAGAAAAATCCGGAATATATGTAAAAAGACCATAGCCAAATCCCGCACGGCTTACGAACGACAGTTGGCATACGATAGCCGTACCTGTCCGAAGCGACTGTTTTCGTACGTTAAAAGGCCGACGAAACGTAGTGATGGTATCCCCTCATTACTGTTAAGCGAAAATTCAGCTTTATTGGCTGAATCTGATCTAGCGAAAGCGGAGACATTTGCTAACTATTTCAGTGAAGTCTACTCTACGTGTAGTGTTACAACTACTTGTCCCGTTGACAATGAGATACCAGCCATAGGACCTTTACACGTGACAGAGGATATTGTTCTTCCTTTGATAACTAACCTAAAACCTTGTAAGATACCGGGCCCTGATGGGTTACACCCACGTTTACTGTCGTCGCTCGCGGACATTATCTCAAGACCGCTCACGATGCTCTTCAACATGTCCCTTTCACAGGCTCAACTACCTAGAGACTGGAAAGACGCCATAGTTAGTCCTATATTTAAGGATGGTCAGAGACGGATCGTATCTAACTATCGGCCTGTTAACCTGACTGGTATAGTAGTTAAGTTACTTGAAAAATTAATTCGGGCTAAGCTACTAAGCCACATAGATTCGTACAATCTGTTAACTCCCGAGCAACATGGGTTTCGTAACAAGCATTCATGCTTGACTAACTTACTCATTGCGAGAGAGGATTAGGCAGCTGCCCTAGACAACGGCCAGTCTGTCGACGTGATATTTATAGATTTTAGCAAAGCGTTTGATAAGGATTCACACTTAGGTCTTATGCAAAAGCTCTCGAGCTTTGGTATAACAGGTGCTATATAGGAATGGATAGGAAGCTTCTTATGTGACCGCAGACAGAGAGTTCAAATGGTTCAAATGGTTGAGGACGGAATAGAAGAAGCTTTCGCTTAACGGGCTTCCGTGTCTGGTAGCAGTGGATCATCAATACCTCCAGGCAAAAACCTAGGTATATGAACGATAATAGAGGGAAAAAAAAGAATTTGGTAAATCATAGTAATATGTTATCCTTAGTCCTTAAGAATAAGTCAAGTTTTCTCTTAAAGGACTCCTGGGAGGTCGCTTGGACTAGCTCAGTCGGCAGCGAATTCCAGCACTTGACAACTCTAACGGAGTAGAAGTTGTGTCTGCAGTCTGTTCTGCTATGTAGGGTCTCCAATTTCTGGGTGTTACCTCTGAGATTAGTGTTATGACTAAGCTTAAGAAGTTGTTTAAGGGGATGACCAGAAGTATTAAGGATACTATAAGTCATAAGAAGATCACCTCTAAGACGCCTATACTCTAACGGGTAAAGGTTAAGTGATTTGAGGCGCTCTTCATAAGGTTTGAATTTGAGACCCCGAACTGATTTCGTGGCTCGACGTTGTATACGTTCCAGAGTGACCTTATCCTTTTGGAGGGAGGGAGGAAATACTATGTTTCCGTACTCTAAGTGGGGACGAATAAAACTGTTGAAGATTATATGGAAGGTTCTACCGTCAAACTGGCCAAAAATGCGCTTCAATGTTACCAGTGCAAGGTTTGCTTGAGAGGCGTTTTTGTCACAGTTCGCATACGATTTCAGGTCGTAGGGTACCAACACTCCTAAAGTAAGGGTCAATGGAACGCTATCCGAATGGAAACCGGTCAAAAGTGGTGTACCCCAAGGCACCATCTTAGGCCCTCTACTTTTCCTTCTGTATATTAATGAACTACCTTTATTACTTAAGTCGTCGACGTTATTGTTTGCGGATAATGTTAAAATCTGGAGAACAATAAGAAATGAGACTGATCGTTGTTATCTACAAGCAGATTTAGACGAATTAGTTAGGTAGGCTCATGATTGGGGCCTGGAAGTTAATTCCAGGAAGAGCGTGTTCATGCACATCGGGCACGATATTAGTTACCATTATACCATTAATGGTACATCTCTGCCACGCGTTCATGAGCACAAAGACTTAGGAGTAGTTATAAGTCACGACTTAAAAACTACTACACACTGCAATGCGGTTGCTTCCAAAGGCTTTCGCGCGCTATGGTCGCTTTGTAGAGCATTGAAATGCTTTGACGAGGAGATGTTTCGAATTTTATATCCCACCTATGTAAGGCCACACTTAGAATACTGTATCCAAGCAGCTAGCCCTTGTCTGATAAAGGATACTAAATCGCTTGAGCGTGTCCAGCGTGTAGGGACAAAATTAGTAAAGGGTCTTTCTAAACTCCCTTACGATGATCGTTTAAAATGTCTAAATCTTTTCCCCTCATCTTATCGTAGGACGCGAGGTGACCTTATACTGGCATTTCGCATCTTTAATTATGATCTGGGTGTTAATATGTCTTATCTTTTTGCTCCCTCCAGCACTAATAATCTCCGGGGTCATAGCAAGAAGGTTATGAAACCGCGATCTAATAAACTAAAGGTGGGGTCCCGTTTTTCTCATCGAGTGGTCAATGATTGGAACGCTTTACCAGAACAAGTGGTATCAGCACCATCAGTGAACATTTTCAAAAAGAAGCTGGACCTTCACTGGAAGGAAATCTGTCAGGATTAACACAGGTTCATCAACCTACTATCCTTATTACTGAAGACTGAATATATCGAGAAGCGTTTGCTCTAATCTGGTTAGTGAACGTAGGAGCTGTATCCCACGCTGGGTCGTAACGTGATCTGGTACGGATGCATGACCGAAAGCCTTCATTTGAACAAGTCCACTTAAAACAATGTGGTCGGCATCCAATGTCGAACACTTAGAAAGCTATTGATTTCGGTGAATTATTTACAGCTACAGTCTCCTTTGATCTACCATTTTTGCACATTTATTGTCAAACATACATAGGTACTTGCCTGGAAGCATTGGTGATGCATTGCTACTGGATAAGGAAGCCCATTAAGCGGAACTTCCTTCTGTTCTGTATAGAACCATTTGAAACCATTTGGATCCCTAATACTGAAGAGTGGAAGTTATTGGACATTGTTCTTTGTCCTTGGGGAACTTTTGTGGATTAATTAGTGCAGAAGATACCGTCTACTTCAGTGCCTTATCGAGTAACAATAACACATGAGCGGATTGCACCATAGTTTGCTGGATTATAAATGCCAGACTACTTATCTGCGGAGCAGGATTCAAGATATTGATGTCGATCATGGGATTGTGTTCTCCTTCGAATCCAACACACAATTGTGTGATATGACTATCGACAGTGTCGAGTCTCGCTTGTAAGCATCACATTTTCATCCTATTGGGCACTACAGACTACTTGTTGGATCACATGACGGCCACATATACATATTTGATGTTGAGGACCCAAGTGTTTGGAGTCTTGACTCGGTTAGACACACTTCGATTGCGTCTGTTTGTAACAGAAGTAAAAGTTCAGGATTGATGTCAAAAGGATCCCCACTCGTTTGTGTACAATGGTATCCAGTCGACAGTGGTCTTTTCATTTCGGCGTCAGCTAATAAAATGCTTGGAATATGGGACACCAACCGCCTTGAAGTATGTCGAACTTTTCCAGTGCGTTCATTATGCTTGTATAAAGCCCTGTCGCTCAAGTGTATTGTAGATTTTCACGGTATACTTATTTTCACCGGTGTGGAATCTTGGTGATTGGTTAAAATTATTTACAAACATGATTTCACTTTTAAGTGTGAATGTATACAAACCGATATTTGGAGTCTTAATTTTAATAGTCCTGAATATCGACCAAATCCCTCAGTCCAAGGTTTGCCTTAAATTCAGTATGTACGGTTTCATCCGTGGAATTTCTATTAAATCTCAGTATTTTGATTGTAAGTATTCTCGTTAAATCAGGTGTTCAAGTGTTTATCAGTTATGATATTTGCCTTCATTTTGAAAGCTACAATTAGCGAGTGATAAACTGTATGTATGATGACACCTCTAAATTATTCCTTATGTCTGGGCTCTAATCATATGACAGACTAATTTTTGGTTGTCTTGTTTACATACCGCTGTGGTTTTGCTGTTAGCATGAGTACCAAGTGTAACAACTTTGATATAAAATTCTATTTTGACTATTTAAATCAAGAACTTGGTTAACGTGGTTGATAATTGTCGGTAGGTATTCATTCCTCAAAAGAGGTTAACACGCTCTTCGTCCACAGCACCACTGCCTAAAGAACTTTCTGGTTGTTGCTAATTTGACTCAATCTGTCAAGGATATCTGTTCACATATCCCCGTGAAATACTTCACAAGCTACTGGTTGCCTTTTTTAATGAAACTACCTAGCTTAAATATCATGTTTAAGTAAATCGAAGGTAAAAACCCTGCTTTTTCGACTGCTGTGTTGGGGGGGGGAGACCGTTAAACGACCCACCTGCTATAGTTTGCGCGCCCAGGTAATATCCCAGTTCACGCATGAGCTAATAGTTGACCTTATATTTCTATTTTAAAATGTTCTTAACAAGTATATGTGTGATCAGATTGCTCGAAATACATTTCTCTAATATATCACATAGTTCTGATAATCTTCGTCTTCTTATTACATTATCAAAATTTATCAAAGGGACTAATTGCTTTAGAAGCATATCACTTACTGCTCAAATAGGCACTGTCTTTTCTGTCATTAAACAAAGTTGAACAAAAATGTCAGGAAAAAGCTGGTGTTCATGTTGGATCAAGAAGAATGATGAGAAAATTCCATAGTACATGAGTAAAAACTACAATATTTTAGATAAAATTAGGTTAGTTTCCATCAAGTATATAATATAGCTAATTTTGAAAATTCGGCTGTGCTATGTCGTATTACAAGTAAGCTAACTACACGGATAGTGAAGTTTGAATGACTAAACAATGAACAAGTGACATAAAGGTTTAAATGTTAATTGCAGGCTGTAAAATCTCCAAATTTCATCAAGTTAGGTCTAATAGGTATATACAGTTATAAAAAGTTATAATTGCAGTCCCAGTCACTTGTAAATACACTGATAATCCATAAGCTTCTGCTCACTCCATAGCATATGGAAATACATAATGGGTTGAAGTTTAACAAATGCCATGGTACAGAGAGGGTGAGGAGAGTCCTCACTCCTTCTTGAAATACTTTCATATGACCCTGCATATATAGCCACTCCTAAGGAAGTCCTACTCACTGTTTTCTTGCGTTGGGGATGTTGATTACGAAACTGAGAGGATGAAAAGCAAATGATGGACGTCCAGACCAGATGATGTGTTGAATGTTGCCACCGAATACGAATTCTGAAGTAGTCTTTCTGAAATTGTGTGGTTTTTAAAGTAGCCTCCTGCAACGTCCACACATTAATGCAGATCGTCAGTCAGTCAGTTACAACGTAGAACTTCGTACGTACATACATCAGTTCGAGTTGCCATACCACATTAGCACAGAGATGAAGTTGTCGATTCAAATCCCATATTGGTAGAAGTAGTAAGAGTATAAGTATTATGTGAAAGATAAGGGTTTGAAGATGTTATTGAAGAAGTATAATACAGTGAAATAAATTTGGAAAGAGAAAAAGGAAAAGGACACAAATAATTCAGAAGATTAGAATTTGGTAGAACACAAAGAGTGGATACAGCTTCGCCATTGCAAACGATTTTGAGCCATGTCATTCAAAGTCTCTAACCATCGGTTGCTATCATCTCGCGAATCCCAACCAGGTAGTCTACACCTACCAACATGGTTCAGTCCACTTGTCAGTGACTTCATGGATTTATGCCATGTTTTGGTCTGGACGCCCCTAGCTTTCTTCCAACCTACTCCTACACTATAAAGCATTGCACGTCGGGGCAGTCGTTGGTTGGGCATACGTAACACATGTCCCAGCCATCTCAACTGATGAAGTTTCACTACTTCATCAATCGATTTGCCATCATTACCTAGTACCCGTTTCCTAACATCTGCATTACTTACCCGGTGGTCCCAGGATATACGAGCAATGCGTCGAAGACACCTATGATAGAACACTAGTAGCCTACGAATATCCTCTACTCTTATGGGCCATGTTTCACTGCCATAAAGTAGGACGGAACGGACTGCTGCACAGTAAACCCGTCCTTTTGTTGCTAGACGGATATCTCGCCTACGCCATAAATGACGCAAGTTGGCGAAAGCTAGACGAGCCTTCTGTATCCGTGCTGAGATTTCGTCACATACCAGACCACAAGGGCTGATGAGACTCCCAAGATAAGTGAAGTGGTCTACACGCTCAACTACTTCACTCCCTATCATTGGTTCAGGTGTCGATGCAACCCAATCTTGAAGTAACATTTTGCACTTCGAGGGAGAGAATCGCATCCCGAACATGCCTGCATTGTTGCTTATAGTGGTCAGAAGACTCTGCATTTTGTCAGCGTCTTCACCAAATAAAACTATGTCGTCGGCGTATTCTAAGTCAACAAGTGAGCCTCCTGGTAAAAGTTCAACTCCAGGAGATTGAGATGATGAAAGTGATACCTCTAAAAGCATGTCAACGACAAAGTTAAACAGGAATGGGGAAAGTGGACAGCCCTGACGAACGCCACTTGAGGTAACCAATTCTGATGAGAGTTCGCCATAGGCTCTAACTCGACCAGTTGTGTTCGAGTAGAGAGCCTTTATGAGGTTAATGCAGATCGGAGAACAGATGGGTCTGGGTATTTCTTTGGAAGGTCTTAACATCAATGTCTGTTGTCTATGCGAAACCCATATTCAAGACTCTAGTGAAGTACTTCAAATTCACTTCATTTTTCGCTTCCAAAAGCACGTTTTATCTGGAGATGCTGCGGCATTTTTGCCAGATTTCGCTGGGGTTGTTGCCACATTAAGTGGCAGAACATAAACGGCATTATTCGATGAGATTCAGATTGGCAGCGGATTATTACGCTGTAAGGTTAGAAAGCTTCATCAAAGTGAAGAGAAATTGTTATGAGAAACGATGTCTTCTTTATCTCTGCCTACACCCTCACTGATCGCAGCTTGGATGCAATCAAGGATGAGCTATACCACCAGTTAAATAGCCTCAAGACAGCACGCTCGACATTGTCATAATGCTAGCCCAACTCTTTAAGACACGTCTATCTACTCCGGATAACCGCGAGTTTGAACACAAACCACGATGGTGGTGACTTTCTGGCTAAGGAACTGACTGCGTTGTTTACGAAGGTCTGACAATTAGAGAGTATTCCAACATCATGGAGTGAGTCGATAATTGTCCCTATCTTTAAAAAAGGTTCACGTCGTCTTTGCAACAACTATCGGGGGATAAGTCCACTTCCGATTGCGTCTAAACTATTGGCTCCCGTCATGCTTCGTATATTGTTCAGAACCCGTGGAAGATTGGTTCGCAAGCAGCAGGCTGGTTTTCGTTGTGGTCGAGGACATATTGATCATATCTTCACCCTCCGCCAAATGTTAGAACACCGTCATACTTACCGCAGGCCAACAATCGTTGTGTTTATCGACATCAGGGTCGCCTTCGATTCGTGGGGCAGGACAGTTCTCTGGGATCGCCTGTTGAAGAAGGGTGTGGCTGAGAAGGAATTGTTGAAGTTCAGTGGCAACACCATGCTAATAATGCGGAGGTTCGGCAACGCGTGTTTGGGCGCAGAGACGATAATCCAATCGATGTCACTATCTTAAGACATTAAGTTGGCTTGGAAGTGTACCATGACTGTCCCCCCAAATCTCCTGGTGCGGTCTAGAGTGGGGAGAGTTAGCTCTCTCTCTCGAAATGCTCTCATATGATCACGCGCAAACAACCATTGCCAGAGATTTCCTACTCACTGCCTTCTCGTGGCGGGGATGTTTTTAACGAAACTGAGATGACGAAAAGCGAATGTCCGACGCCTTAACCGGGTTGGTGGACACGGAAAGTTCACCTAGGGGAGTTGGAAAACCGTGATTCCAAAGCGATGGTGTGCATAGGCTTCAGGATCATGAGGGAACAAACGGTGTATGAAACCATGGTTGGTCACCAGCTACCATGGGACTACATGTGATGGAGTTCATGCTTTAACTCTAATTAATTAATTACATAAACATTGATACAAGGCGGCACCATATATATATATATATATATATATATATATATATATATATATGCCTGACAAATCATTTGATTAGCGTAAGGGCTGTGATACTGCCTGGGTTCACGAACCGAAGGAGGTGGTTCCCTTAGGGGGGCCACACCCGGAGCCTTTGACCTAAAGATCTGATCCACAAGGCAGTGGAGCAACGTTAGGAGATGCAGTCTCATGGTAGCTGGTGATCAACCATGGTTTCATACACCGTTTGTTCCCTCATGATCCTGAAGCCTATGCACACCATCGCTTTGGAGTCACGGTTTTCCAACTCCCCTAGGTGAACTTTCCGTGTCCACCAACCCGGTTAAGGCGTCGGACATTCGCTTTTCGTCATCTCAATTTCGTTAAAAACACCCCCGCCACAAGAAGGCAGTGAGTAGGAAATCTCTGGCAATGGTTGTTTGCGCGTGATCATATGAGAGCATTTCAAGAGAGAGAGCTAACTCTCCCCACTCTCGGCCGTACCAGGGCATTTGAAGACTAACAACTGAAGTACTTTGAATAGATCACTAAGCTATTTCTTTACACAGAAAGGCATATTCTTCGGTTTTGTATATTATAAAGACATATTTATCGAGTAGCATTTTCCTCTGAACATAATTCTTAGTATATATTTAGGAAACTACTGTCCTCTAGAACATGTTAGTAATGTTGAAGTTCGGCATCCTGTGTTCGAGCGCAGAGACGATAACCCAATTAGTGTCACCATCTTGAAACATCGACTTCGGTGGCTTGAACATGTCTTACGAATGCTGTCTAGAGAATTTCTCGTCCTGCATTATTTGCCGACGCTGGGACTGGTTGGAAAAAGCGGAGAGGTGGTCATTGTATGACATGGTATCGTGATATGAAAGAAAGCTGCAAAGAGTTGGCTTCTGTTAGTCCTTTACTACTCCCTGGTTGGGGTCCAAGAGATGGTGCAACACAGTGGCTAGAGACATTATCAGATATGGCTCGGAATAGAAGCTAGTTGCGATCCTGCTGTAACTTTTTTTTACTTTCTTCATAAAGGGTGGTCATAACTTCCTTAACTGAAAGAGATTTTCTGGTTGTACATTTCTGTTTCCCCAATTATTACTCTTATAATTACAGTAACATACACTCTGTCGTCCTTGTTGTTCCTTCTTTTTTTTCTTTATTTTTTTTCTTATGTGTACCTTACCCCTTTTCTCTTCCCATTTTCATTGTTTTGTGTGGCGTATACATATCTAGTTCCCACCTTTTACCAATATTTATATGTTTAAATAAATAAATAAATCTAGAGCATTTTGAAATAGGGTCATTTATCGGTGTAGTACAGTGTATATTTTTCTACTTTTTAATATCATCAATATCTTCATTGACGACTTTTATTTTTTCGTTGTAGTGCGTCACGTCAGTAAGTTTCGCCCAGAGTTTGTCCTGGTTATCTATGTCACCTGTGGCATGTAGTCACAATCTGATCGCAGTTAGTCTAGGACCATGCAGTAATGAATCAAGTGGCCGCGCCGTTTTAGTTGATCCTCTCATGGGTTGTACAGCCACTACACTTCTTGGAAGCCATTCTCAATCAGGCCTCACACAAATTACTTGGTCCCCTCGGGCTGCTTACGTGGTTGTTACAGGGGGGTGAGTTTATAACAACCGTTTATAATTCTCTTAGATTATTCTCTTTAAATCTGAAAAATGTATGCATTTAAATTTGTCAGTCGGCTTCAGCATGCTTGTAATTGTTCGCTTGTAAAGTGGAATTATCTGTGATTACTTGAGTTCTTTAACTTATCAGGAATCTTCGAAGCGAATTGAAATAGTTGGCTACATAAAATTGCGTTCAATATTTCATACAAAAATATCCAGTATTTCAATAATAGAAATTTTAAGAAAGGAATAATCCACCGAAGAAAACTTAGACAGTCGTTTAATATTGCTGTACGATTGTGCTTATAGTTAATTAACATCCATAAGTTTGCGATAAAATAGATATTACACTATTTAAAAGATAATCGAAAATGTTTTCATGCGTCAAGAACTAACGTAATAGACTAAAGTGTAATATAGTAAAATCGGACAAGATTACAAATGTAAAATGACTGTTTATTTTAAAAACATTAAAGAAATGCGATCAAGTAAAGAATCAGTCGAAATTTCCAAAATTAGCAGGGGTGTGTTATAGCTAATTTCATTATTAATTTTTTCAAATCAAAGTACAATGAGAGCTTGAATGTTTTGTTCTTAAAATAACAGATCTTGATTGAAATGATGAATCGTCAGTACCCTGTGTGTCTAGCTTAATAGATAGTTTTAAAAGATACTTCTGGAGAGCTCGCATGATTGAGGTCAACTAAGTGTCCAAGAATATAACTTTTTATCGTTTTACATTCACCTTAAGACAACTCTAATTGATAATGTTCAGCAATGTATTTAAAGAGAGTACACTTTGTACAGCCGAAATAACTAGTTGTGAAAGTGCAAGTGAACTGATAAATACATGAATTATCCCAAAGCCTCGATTGAGAAAAAGATTCGGAGCTCCACATTGTAGAAAACCTTTCATGCTGATCTCATTAATAAGTTTTTTCAAAAGCTTCTTTTGAGTAACTTATATCTACTTGGGTTAGTAACGGAAAACCACTGAATTCTATCTATGAACACCAGTTTGAGTACCGTATAATTTATATCTATTGTTTATTCGGATAAATGTACAACTCAAAAGAATTTTTATAGTACTAGCTTTGTTGCGTTACCTTCAGATTTATCTGGTTTTTACATTGTGGAATCTCTGAATAGTTTTCGACAGTTTCTGTTATCTCCTAATGACTGCTGACGTTGCGTACAGTTGCTAACATCATTTGTAACTGTTCAGCTTCTATTGTGACTACATGTGTCTGAATAGTATTAATCGACATACAGTGCATCAAAAACGTAAGTCCTACGCAACTCTAGGGCTTCGTATTATTGGAAATGAGGCAGCAGTAGAATTCGTTTTAAAGTTCACTACTCGTAAACCGTAACGGAAGTAAAAAGTCGTAGGTCTGCAGCAACGAAAAGCCAAATTCTTTTCGATGATTAGACGTATGTCAATAAAAAAAGCTTGTGTGTTCTCATGGTGCTTCCTTATGTACTTTCTAGGACGTATTAATAGTCAGTTATAAGCCACATAGAGCCTGAGAAATGTGTGCATCGTTTATTATTATTATTATTATTATTATTATTATTATTATTATTATTATTATTATTATTATTATTATTATTATTATTATTATTATTATTATTATTATTATTATTATTATTATTATTATTATTATTATTATTATTATTATTATTATTATTATTATTATTATTATTATTATTATTATTATTATTATTATTATTATTATTATTATTATTATTATTATTATTATTATTATTATTATTATTATTATTATTATATTATTATTATTATTATTATTATTATTATTATTATTATTATTATTATTATTATTATTATTATTATTATTATTATTATTATTATTATTATTATTATTATTATTATTATTATTATTATTGTTATTATTATTATTAACGGCTTTATCCAATATTGTACTATATGGTACAATATGGAATTCTCGGCACGAGGTATTTCAACAAATTTCTTTACCAAAAACAAAATAAGACATGCTTAAGAATGCAGTTTATTGATTAAGTTAACTCTAACAACCTGTTCGTCGCAGAGTATATTTGCTAGGTAAGGTACTATAGAACTTTAATAGATTTGCTTGCGTGCATGGATTTTAATTTTATTTAAGTCTCGTTCTACTAGAAGATACACAAGGAAAAAGATATGAATGAAGTGGATGGTTAGTATCTGATAAGATAACACCTGCCAGAAGTTTGCAAGACTTTGGATGCCTATCCACAACCATATTAATAATGACCTCAAAAGATTCACCAAACACCTTGCTAACTGCCTTCAGCACTCTCCGCAATGCATCAAAGTCTTTTCTCAAAAGCCCGGAAGGAATAATGGAGAACTAAAGAATAATAGGTAATATGTAGGAATTGACAAATTGTAAGAGTAAATTTCGAGTAATCCCAAAAGGATGCAGCCTCTTTATGTAGTAAGTCAAACGGTGAAATTTTTTAGATGACAGTAAAACATGAGAAGACCAAGAGAGATCATAGGAAAAAGTAACACCAATATAATTTACCTTCGGCAGTGTTTATCAAGAAGTGTCCAATGGCAAAAGCATTATGAGATCCCAAAATGGTGTTTAGGTGCTATCCATGTCTCAGGCTGAAGTTAACAGCTTGATATTTAGACGGATTAAGTAAGAGACCATTACCAACAGACCACCATTCAATACGAGACAAAAGCTCATTTATTACTATGGGATGTAAAGAGGTAGAAATTGGCATGCATACATTGACGTCGTCCGCATATTTCACAAAAGTGTTTTCTGTTGAAGATGGCAGATCATGCAGAAAAAAAGAGAAAAGGAGAGGTGAAAGAACAGGTCCTTGTGGTACACCTTCAGTAGACAGTAGAGACGTTGAACACTTTCCTTCAAACACAGTGTTCTGTTCTCTTCCAGAAAGGTAGGAACACAGCTAATTGGTTATCCAGCTGTCAGTGTTGACGCTGATTAACTTGTTAAGTAACAAGTGTCTTGGGATAGAATCAAAAGCAGAAGTGTAGTCCAGAAAAGCGCATCGAACATATTTCTTACCCTTTTTCAAGCTGAACACCATATTGTGATGCAGAACAGCAATGGCATCTAAGGTGCTTCTTTTGCATTTGTAAGCAAACTGATACGCATGTGGGCTCTTTTATTGCAGGTTGGATTGGGAGCATCAATAATTTTTCCATTTTTTTGAGGAAAGGTTAAGTTATTTCTGTGGGTTTAAATTTCACATTCTTATCACCAGATACTTTCTGGAGTCATGTAGATGTTAGTAACATACACATATTTGTATTTATCCAGGTGTTTTGGACGGCATCCTAAAGTTAGACAGTCGATAAAGTCATTTTAAAACTTGAAACAAGCGAAAGTAGATGGACACCAGTTAACCTTTACAAGTGTAGCTACACAGCCGCCACACCTCCTTTTATTACTTGATCGACCCTGACGATAGATATTGAAAGCACGTAATGATACTAAATCAGTTAGCCAAGATACTTGAGTTGTGATGACACTGCAATGACGACACATGTTTCGACTTCGTAGGAATTGGAGATAGTCCACCTTGTTCATTAGTGATCGGCAGTTAGAATTTAGCAGCTCGGGAATCGACATTTAATTAATGTTCATTTTCTTCAGTGCATATTGCCAATGCGAATTGCCACACCGTATTAACACATCAAAATGCTTTAGCAGTGGAAGTAATTACAGTATCAGTGGTAGTAGAAAGTTTGGAAATAAACTTAGCGTTGAGAAGGAAATGTAGGCTAGTGAAATCAGAAATTGTAAGTCAATTTTTGTGCTTAGTATTAAGACGGAGATAAAGAGTGAATGCACCTGCTCCATCACAAGCGATTCTGAGCCATTTGACTTAAAGTCTATGCATTGATTACGAGGATCTCGCTGATCCCAACCAAGTTGTCTAGCCTCACTCATATGTCTCAATCCTACAGTTGGTGATTACATGGACTGATTCTATATCTTGGTTAAGCCGTCCCTAACCTTCTTCTAACCCCTCCCATCAACTATCATCTTGCGTTGAAGTATCATTAAAGTAACTACTTCTATGAATTTAGTGTTCATCTTGTTATGCTAATGAGGTTTGGTAACTTGGACCGATATTTATATATGCCTGTTCCTACATTGTAGATGACTTGTTGTGTTACTCCTATTGCTTAGTATTCTTATACAATGACACTCGACAAGACCCCAAAATAACAAGGGTAGGTAAACAGCGATCAATGGTTAGAAAGACGTTCATATATTCATAATATATACATAAGAAGCTTCTAGATGTTTCTCCAATAATTTGCCAGAGCTGATTGGTTGGAATTAGCCAATCAGAGTGCGCCGTCACGATCATGCACATAACATGCCTTAATCCGGTTTATTTTCCGCTAACGGGACTGACTGCGGTGAAGTAAGAGGGTGATTAGGGATACATGATACATGTCCCGACCAAATCGAGCGTGCACAAATCACTGTAATTTATTTATTTATTTAAACACATAAATATTGGTACAAGGAAGCACCAGATAAATATGCGCCTCACAAATCTCATTCGATTTGTGTGAGGGCTGTGATACTGCCCAGGTGCCCAGACTGAAGCAGGTGGTTTTCTTAGGGGGCCACACCCGGAGCCTTTGACCTGAATGTCTGATCCACAAGGCAGTGGAGCATCGTGAGGAGATGCAGTCCCATGGTAGCCGGTGACCAACAATAGGTTCATACGCCATTCGTTCCGTCAGGATCCTGGAGCCCATGTGCACCACTGGTTTGGAATCAGGGTTTTCCAACTCCCCTAGGTGGACCCTCCACATCCACCAACGCCCCCGCCACGAGAAAGTAGTGAGTAGGACTTCCCTGGCAGAGGCTATATATTCGCGTGGCCATATGACAGCATTTCGAGAGTGAGAGTGGACTCTCCCCACTCTCGGCCGTACCAGGGCATTTGGGGGCACAAATCACTGTAAACACCAAATGATTTTCCATCTACACCTAATACGCTGTGTCTAACTTAAACATTACACACTTAATGGTCCCAAAATATGTGAAGGCATCTATGAACACATTCTAGTGACCTACGAATATCCTTCATTTTTAAAAGTCATGTTTCACGACCACAAAGTAGAACAAAAGGAGCTTCTGCAAAGTTTACTCATCCTTTGGTTGAGAGAAGGACATCTCGCTTATGCCACAGGTGGCGCAAGTTAGCGAAATCTAAGCGAGCTTTTTAAATCCGTGTCCAGATTTTGTCTCACTCAATCCCACCGGAGCTGACGAGACTTTTAAGATCAGTGAAGTAGTCCACGAGAAAAGTGTTATCTCTGAAAGAATGTCTATGGCAAAGTTGGTTAAAATTGTGGAAACGGACGACCCCGACGAACACGGTGTTATTAATCCCGATAGCAGTTCACCATAATCTCTGAATTGACCAGTAGTGTCTGAGTAGAGAGTCTGTACAAATTCAACGTACTTTTTGGGTACGTTTTTCAATGACAGATGTTGTTATAAAGCCTGTCAATCTTTGGAGTTGAGCACTTTCTTTAAAAAATACAGCTTTTGCTGGGCGTCAGTAGGTGTGCCTATGTTCCAAAACGTGATTTATAGATTCACAGTGGGGTAGCTGGAGACCAGCTATACTGTTCCTCAAAGTACTCTGCCCATCTTACCGACCTCCTGGGCTAATAGTGGATCAATGTTCCATCTTTTTCCGAAATTGTCTTAATTACTTCCGAATTTTTAACACTCGTTTCTTTGATAAGTCTGGAAGTTGTTATTTGTTGTCTATCACTTCTGTCTTTTCCATCTCTACTGAATTAGTCGCCCATCGCTATTCGCGATAATTGTATAGACTTGTAGTCATTGCGCGTTCAAGTTGTCTTCACTCTTCATCATGTTTCGAGTCTGACGGGATAACTTTCTGATAATCTATCAATCCAATAGATGCCACTTGTAAACATCATTGTTGTTTTCACAGCTGTTTGGATATTGTCCCAACACACATCAGGTTAAGCATCTCTTTGAAGTTTGACTAAATGCTTCTCTAGGTGTTTGACGGTCTGAAGATTAAGGAGTCTTCGTGCTGTGACTTTTCTGGAACATGATCGAAATCTATACATGTGCTCGAGGAAAAGTAGAGATCTACTACTGAGCCTCACTAGCAATGGTTGATGGGGATATGATCTCTTTGGATTCACCATTGGGTCGATTTTAGAAAGGTCACTGTGTCAGATGATGTCTATCTTTATGCTTAAGGTTGGTATTTGCTAAATATAAATGGTTGTCTGAGCATAGTTGCAGCATTCGGTTGTCGTTGCCTGTTCACTATGCTAAAACATTACAATACGCCTCTGAATATCTTTCATTTTGATTTAGACTAGCTACTTGAGGGCTAAAATCACTGTATACGAATACGGTGAAGCGCTTGACTTTTTGAAATAAAGTGGTAAACTTTCTGTAAAACTCATCTTTTTCTTCATCTAAACTACAGTCAGCGAGAGTTTCGATCGGGACGACAGGAAAGCAGCAGTGTGTGTTCCTTTCTTTTCTAACTGTTACTCCCTCAACAAGAAAGCGCATCTATCGGAGTATAGTCCAGAAGAGCATGTTCCACCCTGAAACTTAATGTCATACCTACGCTAATGAGTCTACGAGAGGTAACAGTCGAGAATTCAGATATATGGAGTGCGAATCAAGCGGGTTTCCTATATCGATTAGATGAGGTCAAGTGGATGATCACACTCGGGTGCTGTAAATGTGTTACTGAGAATAATATATGTCTATTGCACGAGATTTTAGTGCCCTAGCTAATGAACCATGTTCTATTTTATCTAAGGTTCAAACACTAAATGTCCTAACATATAGTTTAGGGCGCCGATCCAGGAGACTAAGATTGATGACGCTTGGTGACAAAAATAAAGTTATAGTCGAAAGGTCGGGGTTAGGAATAAAAATATGAAAAAGTGACGAAGGGATTAATTCATGAACAAGAAGATCTTGAGTGATGTTCAGCGTATGTGACCACTTTTCACTTCAGAATTGTTCACGCGTTGGAGGGATACTTCTTGAGGTACCTAAAGTGAAAATGGGACAGTAATTTCCTCCAATAGCCTGGGAGCTTGACTATAAAGTCAGAGTACAACTGCTTGAGGCTTGTCATATACGGCCATGGTATAAGTTTTGGTATTCTAGCTCCGTAGTTTGAAGTCCTTGCCACCGGAGACGTAGATCGATTGTGTAACTTTGAAGACCGATCTTTCCTGACCACCTGCTTCCATCATGAGGAGCTGGCACCACTGAAAATGTTGGTTGTCTGTGGGAAATATTACTGCCACCTTACTTTTGTGCATTTATCAGTATTACACCCTCAAACCTTAAGCTACCACTTTTAGTCTTGCTGTTCTCCAACCGACTTGCATGGCACGTTAGAAATAAGAGAATATATGTTCCGGCCAACATAGCCCGACTGAATCATTACAGTAACTAAATATGAACACCCCGCCACGGTGGCAGCTACGATCGAGCAGTGATTACATTCTCAACGAAATAATTGAACCAGTCTAGAAAGGCAGCACTATGCTTACTAATGAGAACAGGGGTACAGATCCTATTATTTAACTAAGTAACTGTAAAGTTATGGATAGAGTAGTTTGAAGAATTAGCACCTAGTTTTTTGTTGATATTTACTGCTATTTTCTATGTTCACTAACAAATATATTCAGATATTTCATCCTCAGGAGTATTTTAAAAAAACCACTGTAAATTAATTACCTTTATTCTTACATTTTATCTATAAATTTGCGTGCAGTAATCGAGTTTACGAGTCAAAGGGGCTAATGTCAAATAATTCAGAATATTCATGTATTTTCTTATTGCTAGAAATATTTTCCCATTTTAAATATCAAAATATTGCTAAACAAAATATATTGTTTCTCATAAATTGTTATCAGACGTGATGGGAGAGTACTGTATTGGGATATCAGGTTTCCTACAAAACCGATATATTCTCTGAACAAAGAAAATGATCCACAAAGTGATTTGGGATATTCTAATGAAGGTCAGCAGAATTATTCGTTGGTTTTTCCTACATTCTTAATGAAACATACATATTTATTATTTTTGATAAATTAATGTAATATTTAGTTTACCTTAAGTCTCCTAAGGAATTATGATCGTTGGATCAGTGTAAGACGACTTTAAGGCCGACTACAAGGCCGACTCCAAGAACAAATAAAAAATCAAACAGTCTTTAAATTTTGTCTTTTTGAGCTTGTTCGCTGACCACGAGAACTGATTGCTTTCTATTGAGGATGCATCATGTCTTTCGTCTAGTCCATTGAAGTTACTCAGTAACTATTTCGTTTTTCCTATCCAACGCGATTGTTCATACACTTAATACTTTTGTTTAATCATCAGAAAAACAGGCGAACAAAAATAATGTACTCTATAACTGTACCCATTTTGTAAACTGTATTATATCTAAAACAAAGTAATGATGTTATTGAAATGTGAAAGCTGAAGGTAGGAAATTCAATTAAACGGCTTGTTCGGGAAAATAGAGTTTGAAAACTTACAATAACCGATATTATTGTAACGAAATTAGTTTTGTTATGAATGGAAATACTTTTAGAATCCTGTGACTGTCTAAATGTATTTGCATGACTATTGTTCCTGAACTATATGTCTCCAAGTTGTCTTCCATTTGACTTCTGTGAAACCGTACACTAGTAGTCAGATTCAAAAACCTTTTGCCGGTTCCAAGGATTTACCCGTTTACAGTGCCACAAACCTGTAATGGGTGAAGTCCTTATTTTTTATCAACCATTGCATCTAGAAAATTTCATCACCAATTTCCTATTTAGAACTTATGAAACTATGGTTGCAGGTAAAGGCATTTCACTTCCGCACAACAGGTCACAGATACAAACTCTGGCCATTATCGTTAACTCTCACACAAAGTGTGTTGCTAGACTTAGTTCCGACCATTGCTGCTACATTGACGTGGTGGTTGGGCTCACCTATCGTGATGAACCAATCGAGCTATACTGGCTGGAACAATCGTTCCTCAAGGTCCCACCATGCCGGACAGGTCGGTTGAAGAACGGTAAGACTAAAAACAGCAAACCCTAGGTCCGAGGGCGAAGTCGTACTGCTGACTGTACAGAGGTGTGACGGCAGTACGGTGTTTCCATCAGACAACCAGCATAACAGCGATGGGGTTAGAAAAGGTCGACCTTAAAAGTGAACAGCCCGCCTTATCCCATGGATATCCTCTGGTGGTGAGGTCTCAACAAGTACAGAGCTAACATAAAAAGGTCCTGTGTGGCCGACCTCAAGCTATTGTCCCTTGGGCACTGCGGTCATGCTCTCAGGTCACGAAGACTGACTGGAACCCAGTTCCCCTTACAGATACCTCTAGAAGAACCCTTTCGCGGTGTGGGCGACGGGGAAGTGATAACCGCCCTCATACCTATAACAACTCTCAGGATCACTGTATTCATAATCAATCTCCTTCAATTCCTATTACTCCTACCTCGACTTTCAACACTAAACTTCCTCTTGAATTGTCACCATGGCCAACGATTCTAGTGTGAGAAACATTGTCCCAGGTTCACTGAAACCTCGCTCCAAATTACATATTGAAGCCTTCAACGTACGTACCCTATGTCAAATCGGCCATCAGACCTCCTTGGCTAAAATCCTAGAATCTCGTACGATTGATGTATGCTGTGTCTCCGAAACACACACACAGGATCCTAGTGTAGTCATTCACTTGACCTCACCTCGCCAAAATGGACAGCCAATGAAATACACCCTCCGTGTATCTGGCGACCCGTTGGCTAGTTCTTGTGGACTTGCAGGTGTAGGCATAGCACTAAGTGCAAGGGCAGAACAGGCACTATTAGAATGGATCCCCGTTAACAGTCGCCTGTGTGCTGTCCGGTTGAATGGCGCCGTAAGAACTCGGAAGGATAGGGACACACGTCGTTGCCTTTTTGTCGTTTCTGCCTACGCTCCCACTGACTGCAGCCATGATGAAGTAAAAGATGACTTTTACAGAAAACTCTCTGAGCTTCTTCACCAAGCTAAACGCTCAAAAATAGTACTTGTAGCAGGGGACTGTGATGCCCAATTAGGTAGCTTAAGCCAAAGCATCTACGTACTTCAAACCGACTAAACACACGTAAGAGTGACTGTATCTAGAGTATTAGCCACTTCGATATGCACTGCTCTGCATTTGAAACAAAAGAATAAGCATCCGTATCTTTTGTAAAAGGCCGGTTAGTGTAACTCAACTGTGTGCTTTTGAAACTGGGCCTCTACAAGTTGGCGATGTTCAATCATTGTATCCGAAGGTTTACTGAGATCCAGTGGCGACATCATGTTAATGAAAAGGTTTGTTAATATATACTTGGATATAGTGACTATAATTCAGTTAGTGTCACCAACTTTAGTGACCTAGACGTCTACCACGAGTGTCTTCCACATCATGCTTTATTTATCGACTTTCGGACTTCTTGTAGAAAGCAAATAGGTGGTCGTTTTACGACAAGGCGCCAATGTGTGAAGGAAAGATAGACAGGATTCGTCTGTCGGTCCTTCATGACTCCCTGATTGAGTTCTAAGAGTTAGTGTAACCCAGAGGCTTGGGATTTTATCAGATATGTGACTGTCAGGCTGTAATTTGCTTTTACTTCATAAAATAAAGAGGAACTTTAAACTGATGGGATTCCTTCCCGTAGTACTCCTCTTCGTTGCTTCTCTCACTTATGTTGATCTCCTGTTTTTTTCTATTATGCTCACTTTTCTCCCCCTTTTCCTACAACTTCTCATTTTCATGCTCCTTTGTGCCTTTATTTACGAATTTAAATACATTAAATATTCTATTCGTTTGCCAAAGCTCATCCAGTGTTTTTTAAAAAAAAACTGAACCAGATATTTAGTCTCGATGATTGTTCTATATAACCTGCTTTTTTCTTATCAATCATTTATCTTTGTGAAGTTTTATATAACACACCTGCTATTCGCCGTGTTAAATCGCGTATATACAAATATTCTTTTAAGATTTTGATAGTAGTTGGTTTATCCCATATTTTTAATTAGGGTTGACGCCTATCCATTTCTGTGAGTAGACTCGCAAAATGGGTTATGCAATTTTCATGAAGTAAATCCTCTTTAAATCAATCATATGAACATTCATAAAACAAATACGATATAGTAAGCAAAGATGGATACGCACAGGTTGCACATATGCCAATTAGAGACTGACCAGTTGCAGTCCTAAAAACATCAATGGGAAGATCCAAACAAACAATACTAAGCACATACGAGACTGGTAGGTCCTGGGTTCGAATCTCGCGAGGGCGGGTTCGTGGATGCGCACTGCTGAGGAGTCCCATAATAAAACGAAACGGCCGTCCAGTGTTTCCAGGTTTTCCATGGTGGTTTAGCTTCAATTGACTCACTCTTTCAACTATGATAAATACTAAATCTCCACAAAACCCCTTCTGATAATTAAATACGATATAGTTTTAAAATAAATGGGGATTTCTCAATTTTGTCAGTCTTCTTTTACATTCCATTTCATTATACATTTACGATAAACAACCACCCAAAAAGCGTACAGATTTCTATACATTTTTTTTTCTAGCTATTGCACATACAGGACCTGTGCTAGGCCTCAAATTCTCATCAGATGGCTTACATTTAATTTCATGGGGGGGTTCCGGTTTAACAGTAAGTGCTGCATCTCTTCGTCTTTGGACGCCTGGTCCTGGTGATTGTGAGCAATCATCACATATTCCTAGATTGCGTCCCGTAAACTTCGGGAACATAGTTCTCAACTCAGAAAGTGACCAACTTTTTGACGCTAGGAATCAAACTTTCACAAGTTCTAATTCCTCAGGAAGTGGGAATCAGAGTCCACAATCGTCTGTCTTACCAATAAGATTGGATACCACACACTGGTCAATAGGCGATTTGTGGGGAGCCTCGTCGTTATGTATTTTTGTCCCTGTAAAAAACCGCTTATTAATTGCTTCAGCGTCTAAATACGACACATCGACTAAAATTATAACGCGACACTTTTCAAAAGTAGGTTTTTCGAATTATCCCAACTGTTTTTCATTTTATTTGTTAGTAAACTCACTATTTTGTTATATGCTGCGTGTTTGATGTTCATATATTATAGTTAACTATATATGTAAAAAATCATTGTTGTTTTTACTATTGACTAGACTTATAATTCTTAGATTCACTTTGGTACATATCTGAATCATTCTCCTAGTGCCAATGTACGACATCCATAATAACCTTAGTAACTTTATAGGTATCGTTACCAAGTTTTGATTTGATAATTTTGAATAAATTGAGCATTGGGTAGATTGTTATAAATAAATAATATATTTGTAATATCCCAATGAGTAGAAAAATTAGATTTTCTGACGTTTCGTAACTCAGTGTAGGCCACTTCTTCGGAGAATAAATAAACAACCAATAACTGTAGATTGATTCTAATTAGCTGACTTCAATATCTTTGTTCTGTCATATTCCAACTTCTCTTTGTAGGCATATAGCCGAATAATAGTTGAGGTAGTTTGATAAGTGTTACATCAGCTTTTTACATCCATACCAGTTTCTTCATTAGGAAGTACAATCTTAATACGACCTTTCGAGTGAGCAAAATTGCGGAATTGCGTGACTCTATTCAATTCAATGCATCTTGACTGAGGCCAAACTTGGTGTGTTAGTCGTGATCTAGTTGAATTTGTATGTTTGTCTGCTAACTGTTTCTCTTTCATTGTTGCTTAGTTTAGCGTTGATTCAATCTGAAGCACCCATCCCACAAACGTCTTTGGACACGCATTCATTATTGAGGCTTTGCTTCTAAGTACTTATGTTTAAAATACCGTTTGTCCTCACCAAAGTTTTTATGAATTTTAGATACGTGCATGTGTTTGGAATGATCGTCATTTAGAATTGTATACCTGCGGAGCTGATGGAAATCTGTTTACGTGGCCCATTCTTCCTCTTTCAAGCAACAATGTGATTGATGATGATCAATTTTAATTTATACATCTTAGTATTTTGTAAATAAACATGTATAGTGATGATTGAAATCTTATAATTAACCATTGCATACTTTAACTTGTGTTGTTATTATCATTACTGAATATGAATCAGATCACTAGTTGACTGTTGTTTTTAGTAAATCAAATGATGGAAGAGTTATAATATTAATAGTATGTGGTTTTAGTTAAATTATCCACACTTGTTGCTACGTGTCGTATGCCGTGCAGAGTTAAACAATAGTGAATCTTAGTGATTGGTATATTTAGTGGTTAACGTTTGCGATCAGTCATGTAGTAACTATTTGCCAACTGATTAAATACTACGTAAATTGAGAGTAGTGATACAATGTTGACGTCTCGGGAAATGTCTTGTTCGTTAGTACTAGAAAGGATAAAGTACAGTTTTGTCGTGTAACAATACCTTGGAAACTATTTACAATATTAACATGTATTCGTTAAACATGGTAAATAGGCTCTTGCTTTTGGGGTTTATTGGGAAATGTATATCGCCTTTATAACAGTGAGCGTTTTCAAAGTCGATATTGTGTACGTGACAAATAGGCGAATCACGACTATACTGTTTCCTTATTGCTAATTTTATCTAATCGATGGTTAAAGATCTTGAATGACATGGCCCAAAATCGTTTGCAATGACGAAGTTGCAACTACTTTTTGTGTTTTCCCAAATTCTAGTCTTCTGGATTCTTCATGTCCCTATCTTTTTTCTCTTCCCAGACTTATTAGATTATACTCCTTGAATAACATTTTCAAACCCTGATCTTTCCGATTACTGCTTATACTCTTACTACTTCTACCACTATGGGATTTAAATCGACAACTGTATCTCTGTGCTAATGTGGTATGTCAACTTGAGTTGATGTACGTAGGTGCGAAGTTCTACTTTGTGAATGACTGACAGATGCCGACAGTGGCCGATTCCGAATTAAATATCCAAAACCATCGACTCTATCTCTGTGACAGAGAAACTAAGCGAGGAGGCGGTTGTCTTATATTTGCTTTGGATACCTTAACAACTAACAACGTTGAAGATAGTATCTTGAATAGTTTACCAGAATCGATCTGGATATCAATCAATACCCTGAACCATAGTCTACTCCTAGGTTGTATATATAGAGCTCCTGATAGTACTGATAATTTGAATGATCTTATTATCAATGCATTTATACACGCGTCTACTCTAAACTTCAGTGCTAAGATTATCACTGGCGATTTCGATCATCCTGGAATTAACTGGAGTACCGGTAGTTGTCAGTCTAGCAATGATGAATTTTTATCAATCCTTAATTTGTACTGCTGGTCACAGTGGGTTCGTACCCCAACAAGGGGTGATAATACACTTGATCTAATATTTAGTAGAGATATCATTCCCCTATCTGTACAAGTATACAACGAGTTTGAAAGCAGTAATCATAGGATAGTAGCTTGTGCTCTCCCCATCCATCCCTTCTACAACCGACCAATTCAAAGAACCTGCAATTATAGAGACTATAAGCATGCAGACTGGGACCTCACTGATCAAACTGTCAGACTGGTATGAATTCTTCTCATGTAATAGTCTGACAGATGCCATCAACATATTCCATTTCATTGTTAATTCTTGTCTAAACTCCTGTGCACCAATTAAGACTTACAGGATTAGTAAACATTACGAATTATATATAGCAGCTAAATATCGTAATAAACTAAGACGCCTAAAGAAACGTTATTTTAACCAAATAAAAGAGAAACATAGGTTAAAAGCCATCAATGAAGAGCTATTAGCACTAAGCACTAGCTCAAAGTACAAAACCTAATCCACCTTTACAATAAACGTGCTAAACCAACTCAAAATGTTGATATACCATGCATCCTGCATAATAATAATAGTATTATATATGATCCAAAAACTATAGCAGACCGTTTCAGTGGTAATTTTTCAAATGGCAAACAATCCATAAATGGCTCTGTTTCAAGAGTTATATGCATGACTGGTAACTCAATTAAATTTAACTCCTTCACATGTCTGAAAATTAGTAAGGTTATAAATAACCTCAAGGTTTCGAAAGGTCACGGAGCAGACGGGATTTCATCATTTTTCTACAAATATGGTGGTCCAGATATTCCACTTCTTCTCCTTAAGCTGTTTACTCTCTCTATGGAATCAGGCTCTTATCCTGACCGTTGGAAAACCGCGTACATCATACCACGTTACAAATCCGGAGATAAGACTGACATGAACAACTATCGGCCAATAAATATTACTCCAGTTATCTCTAGGATTATGGAAAAAATTACTAGTGACGAAATATCCAACTATTTATTGACTGAACAATTTATTGATGATTCGCAACATGGATTTCTTAAAAATCGATCTTGTATGACATGTCATTTTGACTTCTTTAATTTAGTCTATTCTCTTCGTAGCCAAGGATATCTAGTACTAGTGCTATACCTGGACATTTCTAAGGCTTTCGACATGGTCAACCACCAACTTCTCATAGGTAAACTCGCATCTTATCGGGTCCAAAACTCGTTACTAGCCTGGTTTGATTCCTTCCTCAGCAATCGACATCAAATAGTTAAAATGAACTCTTCATTGTCGAATGCCGTCCATGTTAGATGTGGGGTAATTCAGGGTAGTGTCTTAGGTCCTTTGCTCCTTTTAGTTTTCATTAATGATATTTGTGAGTGTTTTAGTGTGGGTAAGTCCCTTTTGTATGCAGACGATCTTAAGGTGGTGTACTCATTTTCTCCACATGAGCTGAGCAATATTCAAAATTGTATCAGCTCGGAGCTTGACAATGTAGCACAGTGGTGCTCGAAATGGCAACTGGAGCTTAATACAGCTAAATGTGGTTGGTTATGCTTCGGTGATACATCACTCAACCTCAATCTTACCATAAATGGTGAAATGTTATCTAAGTTACACTCAGTAGTAGATCTAGGACTTAGGCACTCCGACGACTTGTCGTTTACTGAACACATAATGAAACAAACGTCCAAGTCTCAACGCCTTATAGGTTACATAACTCGAAACCTTAGTAACAGCGAATCTCGTATATTATTGTACAAAGTCTGTGTTCGACCACTCCTCGAATACTGCGCGTTTCTCCTTAGTAGCGCGCATAAAGGATAAATTAAGACTGGAATCAGTACAGAGACGATTTACACTTCATACTCTTGGAACTAATAGTGTCTTGACATATAATTCGAGGTGTAGTAAACTAGGGCTTGACCCTTTATGGAAGAGGAGTCTGAAACATAACCCTATCTTCTTTCTCAAAATACTTAACAAACTCTCCTTCCCATCCAGCCAGGCGATTCAATACGCTAAAGCCTCACATTACGACATTCGTAACTCCTTGTCTTTAACCAAACAAACATATTCGAGATCTTCTCTCTATATGAATTACTTTGCCTGCAAGTTTTCTAGGCTCTGGAATAATTTACCTCAAACTATCCGTATGTTAAACTTGTGGGGAGTAGTGTAACGTCGTGTACTATATTACACCTACATAGCTTATTCTAGTTTCTGGACAAGCCAATCCACCTGTAACGTTATGAGTTATATTCTGATCTTGTTAATTATTCCCTTATTGACCTTGACTATTTTTTATATGAGCATATGTGTATGCACACTTCTTATCCTACCTATCACATGTCTGTCATTCATTTTAGTCTGACTATAAATGTTGATTAATGCTTGCTTATAACGAGTTGGCTTACCAGCCATCTCCCATGTATGTTATTTTTTCTTCGCTCGCTAACATTTACTCATGTGCTTACTGCCTTCTAGCCTATGTTATTTGTCAATAAAAATGTAGTTGCCACTTCCTTTTGACTCCTGATATTATACACCGTTCAGATTGATATAATAACGGTTATCAAGACGATCGATTAACTTCGATTGCTTCATATCTGTCTTTCTTCCTGAATTTATCCTTATATACAATCTTTCTTTTATATATTACCACCATTAAATTAACTACTTCTTTGAATTCGGTGTTCATCTTGTTGTGCTAATAAGGTATGGTAACTCGGACTGATGCATATATGCGCCTGATCCTACGTTGTAGCTGACTGACTGACTTATCCAAAAAGGCGTCCTTTGAACTATTGGTATTTTAGTGCTATAAGGGCTGGACTGATTTGTTCTCCTCACAAGTGCTCCTCATCATTTTGAATCATGGTCGACACAGTTGAGCTAATATAAGATTTGGTGTTCGATATACAGCTTACGTACAACCTTGTCATCCACATCAATGAAATATTGGACCCATAAGGGATTTCCCATATATAGAAGTGTGACCTGGACTTTCGAGCAACAACAAGGCTTATCAGAAAATGTAACTGGCATCTTCAGAAAGGTGTCAGAGTATAAAAATATGCTTCTCACATCATAATTCATTTGTTGGATACGCTTGATGTATGCTGCAGCGTATTTTCTAGTTATGTTCCGAATGCCAGCCAATTCCTAAAAATTTAGAGCAAGTGTTCAGTTCATACGGAGATGCTTCAAGTATGTTTAATCAATCAGACACCTGTATGCGAAAAGCCTTATTTTTCAGACCCGTAATAATGATTGTTCACAAGAAAATTTATATACTCTGTCGTATGTTATTGCAAAATCTTCCTATATCACTTATGTATTCGCCTTTATTCTCATTTTGCGTATTTTAACTTTCAACTTATACAGCAGCATGCCTATGGTGGAAACCCTGTCCTATCTAAACAATCTCAAGTCAGATTGGTTACAGCGCGACCAGCTACCACCGGAGTTGTCGTGCACAAGACAGCAACTCCACTAGTAGTACATATCTGGACTCTGATCATGCCATGGTTCGACTGCAATCTTACGTTTCGGTAGACAGCAAAATCACCCTAGATGAATTGATATAGGCAAACTTACTACAGCTTATATTGCAACCAAATATCAAACAGAGTTAGGTTCAAAACTAGCTGTTAACCCACTGAAAAGTATGGATAAGAACTGACTGA